TAATATGTAAGGTATCTTCAATCTTATTTACATACGCCTGTTACTCCCAATGGAGCATAGGCCGCTAACCAGCATTTTCCAACCCACTCAGTCCTGGGCCTTCCTCTCTAGTTCTATCGAATTGTTGTTCATTCTTCTCATGTCCGTCTCCATTTCTCGGCGTAATGTGTTCTTTGGTCTTCTGCTTCTCCTTTGCTCTTGAGGATTCCATGTGAGGACTTGCCTTGTGACGTATTCGGATGCTTTCCTGATTGTGTGTCCTATCCACTTTCAGCGTCTCTTCCTGATTTCTTCTTCTGCTGGAATCTGGTTTGTTCTCTCCCACAGTCGGTTGTTATTGCTGATAGTGTGTGGTCAACGGATCCGCAGTATTTTGCGTAAACACCTGTTAATAAATACTTGTATCTTGTGAATGATCTCTTTCGTAGTTCTCCAGTTCTTCAGTCTTACAATAGATATAATCTACAAAAATGGATGTTTGTAAATTGGTACTTATTATGGTTTATTCATCAAAATATGATTGATTATGATTGTGTTCTTTTTATTTTGACGATCGTTAAAAAAAGTCACCTTAGACATAGTTATACATATATTATTTGTATAAACCAAGAAAAGAAATGTATTCATCACTCTAATTTATGGTTCCTAATCATCTAGTTGTAAATATCTTAAAATTATAGTCGGATTAAAAACGAGACAATAGAGGTCGGCATAAATTATGCTATTCAACTTCACATGAACTACCAGATCTATATATTAAAAGCATCAAAATAATTCAGAAAGGCTTTTTCAACTAGCAAGAAAGGCGAATAGCTGAAACGTTGTATATACTGCTAAATTTCACCTCTCTTAATAGAATAGGAAACATGGTTATTCATTCAACTTGAACTATTTCTAAACAAACACACGTAGTCCTATTCCTACCTCATATGATCACCATACACATACATACATACATTTCAACTCTACTCTTTCACATTATAAACTTCATAATTTTCTTACCATCTGTTAGAGGGATATAAACTGGATTAAAGCATGTTCCATGCAGGATTGTGTTGGAGCACGCCTATTGGCTATTTCCTAACCAATTAGCGCTACGAAGACTTAAAGAAAGTTCTAGAATCTTATATGAAAATTACAGATATAGTAACGTTTTACTTATTGTGATTGTTACTTACTGTCCAACCTTGTTAATTGGAATACAATTACACTCCCGTTCATTCGTGTTCTGATTTGGAGACTTGTTGAGTGAAGCAGTGTCCAAGATTACTAATTAATAAGAGTAGCTAAGTCGTAATAATAGAAATCTTAACACCATCATACAAACACAAATATATACACGAATGTCCTATACAGAATTACATTGACCAAATAATTCACATAATATTAAAATCATCAAACTTAGGTTGAGTTTGATTGAACTAAATATTCTGCCTTGATCCTGTTTACTATTTTAACTTGTTTATCTACTTACTCTCTAAAGAAGCAATTTAAATCAGGTTGTGAGACGTCAGAAATTGAATTCTCTACTCTTTTAGTTATCATCAATATACCTTTATCAATAGTATTTTATTCAATTTATTTGAAATTATCGAGTCTAACCGGTGAGACTATGATTTATGGATGACTATTGAGTGACGCCAAAGTGACCTTGAAAGTGATCACCTAATAACTAGGACTAAATGAGAGTTATAAACCAGTGTAGAGAATCAGGATTATGATTTATGGTTCATGGTTAAGGTTAGAAATTAAATTGAACGTTTTCATCATGAACCGACATCAGCTATAATGCAAAAACTATATTCAGCCAAATGGATGAGTGAATTTCGTGCCATGAACGCGTAACTTTTAGACCACTGAGTCAATTATAATGGTGTACATGTCTAACTTCCATATCGGACGAACATATTCCATTGCCTGTGATAATTAACTTAGTTATTTGACTGTGTAATCTGATTATGTGTATCGAAAACAAAACGATACCATCATGAAATTTTTCGATATTGTTGAGTGCAAAGGGAAGGAAACAAGTACTTCTGATAGGTATTTCATATATGTACAAGCATAGTATAATTACATCTACTATTATACATTGTTGCATTTCAGTCATACTCATCATGTGTTATTTCCCCTCTCTTTTAAATTATCGAATTAATTATTTACTAAGTGACTTTAGGCAGGTAAAACAAAATATTGTTTTTCCTTGTATTATATTTATTCTTTGCTTATTCCACCCCCAGCTTTATTTCAGATAATTTTCTGTTTCTTTATTGAAACGTGATATTTAATCTAAATAACGAGAAGTATTATTATCAGTATTCATTCCCTTTAATACATTTTTGTGATAGAAGATACTTCCAAGTTAGATAATGGATAAAATATTTTATTCAACTACTCCATTCTTCTCACCCCCATCACACACACATTATCATTCTGTTAAAATTCAAATATTTTCCCATTTTTCTTTGAGGATACACTTGTGTTCATTAATATTACTGTTAATCAGTCTTGAGTGCTGTTAGAAGTATGAGGGCGGTTATTACTTCCCGGTTGCCTACACCGTAAAAGGGTTCTTCTGAAGGTACCTAAAAATGAAATTGGATTGAAGGTGGACTTAGTGACCTGAGAGTGTGACCGCAGTGCCCAAGAGACAACTGCCTGGATTCGGTCACACACGGCCTCTCTGTGGGTAATTTTCATGTTAGCTCCGTACTTGTTGAGACCTTACCGCCAGAGACGGATATCCGTGGGATAAGGCGAGATGTGTATCTTTACGGTCGACCTTGTCCAACCCCACCCCTCCTTGTGAGACGGCAGCATCGCTGTCATGTTGGTTGTCTGAAGGAAACAGCTTACTGCCACCACACCTCTGTACTATCGGGAGTACGACTTGGGACCCTTGAGTTTGCGGTGTTTAGTCTTAGCGTTCCTCAACTGGCACGTTAGAACCTTGAGGAACAAATGTTCCAGGCAGTATAGCTCGATTGGTTCATCTCAATAGGCAAGCCTGACCACGACGTCAAGGTAGCAAGAACGGTCGACTTTATTGAATATTATATTTTTGCTACATTATAGGATTCTCAGTTACCTTTTCTTATTTCTTGATCTATCCTTTCCATAAATATTGTGTTGATCACCGGTTAGATGTTAGCATTTCAGGAATAGACAACTGTATAATGTTCATTCTTTTTAATTCATATTGCCAACAACCACGATATCTCTGTGTGAGCTCTTTTTCGTAAGTTGTACAACGAAATGTTGTACACTTTTCAGAAAAACACCTGAATAGGTTATGAGACTGATAAGCATAATAATGTGTTAAAACCAACAGAATAAAAAAACCTGATATTTTGTTGAAATATCTAAATGGAAGGAACAGTTAGCTCAAATATTCAAGTAAGTGATAAGTCTTGCTAATTGAAAGCTATATTCGGTTCCTAAGCTATTCTGTTAACCCCGAAGCTAGAACTACACAGCAACCTGAACATAAGGGAGAAGGCGCAAAATACACGAGAAGCACTTCACTCCAAAGGCTCGTTTGAGTACAGAAAATATAGGGTCTTTATAGTATTTTAGATGTCCTTGTGTTTCCCGAAAATTCTGGAACGCTACTAAACATAGTAGCAGTATAGTAATCAGTCAGTCAGAAACTCGAAATGTGACTTTTCACTTTATTGATGTTTCTGGCTAAACTTCTACTAGTACTTCTTTTGCAAGTTTTCTGGATCACTTCAACAGTAAGCTCTTTTGTTTCCACCTAAACTACTAATAAATTTCTTATAAACGAAAAACCAGAAATGAAACGTTAACTTTATTAATCCATTTTACATGGACAACAACAACGCCAACACCAACAAACATTCTAATTTCATTCATTTTTTTTTCTTTGATCTTCATTTCTCATTTCGAAAAACAAAACAATTATGGTTCTTCTTCTTCTTCTTGTTAACATTTAACTATAACATTAATGTTTATTTCGGTTTAACCTTTTGAACAATAATGTTCGTCTAAATGTTTGACAGATTATTCTTTTTCTCTTTTTCTAAAAATTACAAATTACAATTTTCTCTCTGATTAATTAGTCTAAAATAAAGAAGAAAATAAAATGGTCAATCCATTTGACTATTATTTAATCTAAACAGTAGGAATAAGAAAAAAAACGGGATACTCCTACCCCATAATTCAGGGTTTGAAAAGTCGGGAAAAATAATATGAAAATCTCGTTAATACGATAAAAATGATCTTCATGTTCTTGTAATAGTATTCCGACATGAGACAATAGGTTTTAAGCGTTCTTTAAGCTTGAATGCTTCAAGTCAGGCTATTTTATATAAGCTATACTGCTACGTAGAACTGAAGGTCTCATATGAGACTGAAGGTTCACCATTGGTATTGTGGATAGTTCAGCATTATTTTGGCAAGTTTTGCTGACTGTTGATGTGCAAAATTAGTTTGTTAGTTAACCGATTTCATTCATAATGGTGGTTGCTTTTCACTGTTCTCAAGGCCATTGTCATTGGGACATTGTAAGGCCTGTCGCCATTGCTAACATTAATGAGTTTGACTGTTGTGTAGGCGGGATGGGTTAACTTTGGCCTGTTGGTGCTGTGCATCATTGATTCACGCGATCATTGATGGGAATAATTATACATATGATGTGAATGTGTATATGAGTGGTGCGAATGGTCCACCACCGTGGCTGGTACCTGTGTGGTTGCGCCACAGGATTGAGCTGTACTATTCAGATTGTAGCGTTAAAGCCTATATAGTGTCTAATCTTTCTGACTATCATTACTGTTTCAATTATTCTGACTGTTTACTGTCTATCCTGTCAATTTTATCCTGTTTTGCTAATGTGGTTTGTCAACTAGTGCATATTTATGCTAGTCCTTACGTTGATTATGATTGACTTATATTTAATATCCTTTATATCACCATGTTTCTCAATTAAGTCTTCTTTTCTTGCCATTAACGGTGCATCTTCTTCCTGTGAACTATAGTTGGTACTTCAGAAGTATATCAAGAAAAGATTCAGAACGTCTTTTATTATTAAAAGGAAATATTCGTGGGACATTTCTGGTTCGAGCTAGTGAAACAACAAATGGTAAGTGCTTCTTTCACCCTTTGTAAATGCTTTTTACTGATGATAAATTGTTTAAATAAATTTCTCTGGTTAGCATTTTCTCACCAAGATTCTTTTTTAACGGGATTGATTTGACAACCTCGCTCCTAATTGTCTTTCTCCTTTATCCGGGCCTAGTACCCGCCATAATCTATGAAGGGATCCAGAAAGAATTATTACCAATAAAACCCGATTTCCAATTATGTTTCATTACTGTATTTCAGCTTTATTGGTTGACAAGTAGATCGCGAATGTAACTGTCACTCACTTAGATACTGTATTATGAACGGTTAGATAGTAGAACAACTTCGGTATCTACTGCATGTACCAATCATTATAAAGGAGTGCTTAAATTTTCAACATCATAATTGATTGATCACTGAGTGGTCGCGGCCCGGATAGCCCAGTGGTAACGTGTCTGACTGTGAAGCTTGGTGATACGGGATCGAATTCGTCAGGGAGCGCCAATTCCCTCAAGATTACAGGTACAGCTTGCTGTCGAGTGCCAAGTAGCACGAAACCCGGGTTCAGGGTTTTCTGTTAACTACCTCCAACCAACCACCATCTTAAATTTTCAACATGCTTGGAACTTAAGTCATACGTGTATAACTTTTCTTACTAATTAATCTACAAACACAAGTCTCATGAGTATGGTTCACTATAAAGTAAAAAGATTCAAGTTTATTTTTTAAAATCTGATTTACGGAAAGTAAGTATATCATGTTCTCATAAGTAGCTGATTTGGACACGCATATACTAAGTGTAGCAAGATTGGACGACTACAGTTAGGAACAGTTAAATACTAAATTTTCTGTGGTTTATGATTATTTTTTTATATTTCATTATTGTTTCTCTTTTCCTCTTCAACATAAGGTGCTCTATCCTTGTCAGTGCGTGATACAGAACAACAAAGAGGTGAAACTGTAAAACATTATAAAATTAAACAATCCTCTGAAACTGGTGATGTGTATATAACTACAAAACAAGTCTTTCCTGATTTAAAATCATTAGTTATTCATTATTCTAATCAAGCGGATGGTTTATGTTGTTGTCTTACACGTCCATGCCCAAGACCACCTCCTGTACCAACTGATTTATCAAGATTAACAAGAGATCAATGGGAAATTTCACGTTCCTCATTGAAATTAATTGAATTATTAGGTGCTGGTCAATTTGGTGAAGTTTGGAAAGGTAAATTGTACTGATACTGTTGTATTTTGAGATAGTTTATGATATTAATTTATGAAGTATAAATTTGTAGTGTTTAGCTTTAATTACCTTCAACTTACCTACTTACATACTTGGTTACGCACGTTAGCATAGGCAGCCGACCAGCATTCTCCAACCCACTCTGTCCCGGGCCTTCTTTTCTAGTTCCATCCAATTGTTGTTCATTCTTCTCATGTCCGTCTCCATTTCTCGGCGTAATGTGTTCTTTGGTCTTCCTCTTCTCCTTTGGCTTTGAGGATTCCATGTGAGGACTTGCCTTGTGACGCAGTTAGATGCTTTACTCAATGTGTGTCCTATCCACTTTCAGCACCTCTTCCTGATTTCTTCTTCTGCTGGAATCTGGTTTGTTCTCTTCCACAGTCGGTTGTTGTTGCTAATAGTTTTTGGTCAATGAATCCGAAGTATTATGGGCAGACTGCTGTTAATAAACACTTGTATATTCTTGATGATTACTTTTGTAATTCTCCAAGTTTCCACTCTATACAGTAGAAGTGCCTTGACATTACCTTAAACTAAACGATGTCATTTATCTTTCACTGTTAGAATCAGGTCTGTTTGTAAAATAGAAAACAATCATCTTGATAAGAGTTAAATGGTATCTATCTGTCGGCTGGTTAGAATAAAATTAAACGAAAATATGGAAGAATATCTGATCATACAATACAACGAAAGAAGCTTATTCCTATTAAATAATAAGACAATAAGTAACATGGAATACGTACGCGTAGAGTAGTAAGTTATTGTTAATGTACATCAGTATAATGATTTCAAACCTACAACCATTGATGTATAGTCTTTTTTAAAGGTTGAATGAGAAAGCGCTTAGTTCTTCATACATCTCACACTAATAATCAACAATTTTATTGTTTCATAACACCCTAAGGAATAAGAAATCCCTTTACAGCCCTTGATATTGAAGCTTACAAGGTATAGTCTATTCAGAAAGAGAAAATAATGTCATAATTAATCGAATACTTTTATAGTGAACGAAGATTTGGTGGGCGATAACCACATAGTGATTTAGTAAAATGTAAAAATCATACATTAAGTACATCATTTGCACACCTTTGAATCGTTTTTTACAAACTTCATTCCTGTTTTTATTACAAATACTCTCTGTTTACATTATTGTTCTCTTCAATTTGGTCTTCTGCTTCCAGGCATTCCACTTTTGATCAGTGTTACATACTACTTATATCTGTCAACATCAGTAGCACATACTCCACTTTATATATATACCTTAAATAATTAATGTTTTAATATGCAACTAATCAGTTTGCAAGTTTGTAATATAAGTGAACTGAATTTATTAGTTGGCCTCGTATTTGGTTCATTACATGGTTTATTAAATTAAAATTACCGATACTACTACCATTGAAACCTACATTATCTTATATTTTCTATCATAATCGGTGAATTAATATAAAAATGATTTGTGTTTGCTATATGACAATGATTGGTCAATTTTAACAGTTTGCTGCAAAATTAATGTATCAGTATAGGGATTACTAAGTTTTTCATTGAGATCATGAACCGATTGATGTTAGATCACCACTAAAAACCTGGAAGCACTGAACGGCCGTGGGACTCCTCAGCAGTACGCATCCACGATCTTGCTTTGTGGGACTCGAACCCAGGGCCTTCGGTCTCACACGCGAACGCTTAACCTTTAGATCGCTGAGCCGGCCGGCATCGAACGGTGTTAATGTCTAACCTCAACCAATCCACGAAATTGCGCGACCATCTTCCATTTTATTGTGGTAGATACCTGTCTCTATCTGATTTTCAGGTTTTCAATGGTGTTCTAACATCAATCAGTTCATAAACTCAATCAAAATCCAAATTAATGAAAATAACCTTTCACTAATATCAATTTGAAGGTAATTGTATTCGTAGTTGAACAATAAACTATTTGAACTAATCACATATGTTCAGCTGAGACAATCTCAATAGAATTGGTTAATTTTAATAGATAATAAATAGGCTGGTTAATTTTAAGAAAAGTGATAACGTAATTACAACTTATCATGGCACAATAACATAGTTGTATATCGTTTTATTGTATGAACCGGTAATCAGTTAACAGGTTACACCTTATTCAAAGTTGTCAGAGGATAACTGATACACATGCCAGATTGACTGACTGTTTGAATTAGTATAAAGGTTACACTTAGTGTTATATAAGTTCTTAGAAAACAAACTGAACATCTGGTAAATAAATACCGTTTAAAGCTTCGTAATTTTGTAAGCCATAGTTTATTACTCAATGACTTCATCCATCGAATACAATTTATGGTCATCCCAGGTTTCCTAGATGTCTTATTCATACAGCGGCAGTTCGAATAACTAAATACTTCTGAAGGAAAACTTTGTGGATGACTGTGTATGGAAATAAAATGCAAAACTCATCGGTTAAGCTTATCTGTGGTCCGATATAATGAGATTTCCTGATAAAATATAAACTCATTTCACAAGCTAATATATTACCCATTAACCCATTGAGTTATTATGGGCTACTGAAGCGTATACTTGTCCGACTAATTATTTTTTATTTATTTTTTCCATGCTCCATAACTAGCTGGACTAACAAATTTACAGATTCTAGATTGATTTCATTGAAAACTATCCATGAATATAGTCTATAATAATCTACTTAGTGTTTATTAATTCATCAGCCCCAAATGCCCTGGTACGGCCGAGAGTGAGGAGAGTCAGCTCTCCCTCTTGAAATGCTCTCACATGGCCACGCGTATACAGTCACTGACAGTGAATTCCTGCTCATTCCTTTCTTGTAGAATTACTGTTGCCTAATAAATTGAGAGGACTAAAGGCGCTTTAACCGTGTTGGCGGATATGGAGGATCCACCTACGGAAGTTAGAAAACCCTGATTCCTAATCAACACTTACTTACTTACGCCTGTTACTCCTAATGTGCAGCATAGGCCGCAGACCAGCATTCTCCAACCTACTCTGTCCTGGGCCTTCTTTTCTAGTTCCATCCAATTGTTGTTCATTCTTCTCATGTCCGTCTCCATTTCTCGGCGTAATGTGTTCTTTGGTCTTCCTCTTTTCCTTTGGCCTTGAGGATTCCATGTGAGTACCTGCCTTGTGACGTAGTTGGATGCTTTCCTGATTGTGTGTCCTATCCACTTTCAGCGCTTCTTCTGCTGGGATCTGGTTTGTTCTTTCCCACAGCAGGTTGCTGCTAATAGTGTCCGGCCAACGGATCCGAAGTATTTTGCATAGACATATGTTAATAAACACCTGTATTTTCTGGATGATGGCTTTCGTGGTTCTCCAGGTTTCCGTTCCATACAGTAGAACTGTCTTGACATTTGTATTGAAAATCCTGACCTTGGTGTTGGTTGACAGTTGCTTTGAGTTCTAGATGTTCTTCAGTTGTAAATATGCTGCTCTTGCTTTGCCGATCCGCGCCTTCACATCTGCATCAGATCCACCCTGTTCATCAATTATGCTGCCCAGATATGTAAAGGTTTTTACATCTTCCAAATCGTCTCCGTCAATTGTGATTGGATTGATGCATGCTTTTCCCTTTGTGTATATTGAGACCTACTGCTTCTGAGGCTGCTGCCACACTGTTCGTCTTCTCCTGCATTTGTCGTTGCGTTTGGGATAGAAAGGCCAGATCATCTGCGAAGTCTAGATCGTCCAACTGCATCTTAGATGTCCATTGTATCCCGTGTTTCCCTTCAGATGTTGACATCTTCATGATCCAGTCGATCACTAGGAATCTGTCATGATTCCAAATCAATGGTGCACATTTATTATTTATTTTATTGAAACACATAAACATTTGTACGAGGAGGCATCAAATAGATATGCGCCACGTAAATCATTCGATTTGTGTTAGAGCTGGAATACTGTCCGGGTGCTCAAACCGAAGCATGGGCTCCACGATCCTGTAGGAACAAAAGGAGTATAAACCAATCGTTGGTCACTGGCTTACCATGGGACTGCATCTCCTGACGTTGCTCCACTGCCTTATGGATTAGACCTTTAGGTCGAAGGCTCCCGGTGTGGCCCCCTAAGAAAACCTCCTGCTTCGTTTCGAGCACCTGGGCAGTCTCCAACCCTTACACAAATCGAATGATTTATGAGGCGCATCTCCGTACCACCTTCTATTTCACTAAGGTAATCCATTCTGTGAAAGTGTTTGATACTAACTTCTTACGTTATCTGTTCAAACATATTTCAGATTGTCATTATAAAGTTTATTTTCTTATTCATTAATTTAATCACTTTATTACTATTATTATAATTATTTATTAAATGAAAATATTCAGGAAAATGGAATGAAACTATTGAAGTTGCTGTGAAAACATTAAAACAAGGTACAATGACTAAAGAAGAATTTCTTAAAGAAGCACGTATTATGAAACAATTACATCATCCAAGACTTGTACGTTTATATGCTGTAGTTACAGCTGAACCAATTTATATTATTACTGAATTAATGAAAAATGGTAGTTTATTAAAATATTTACGTGATGGTCCTGGCAAAGAATTAGGATTGAAACCATTAATCGATATGATGGCACAGGTAAATTGGAATCATAATTATTTCATATTTTATGTGTGCTATCTTTTATTGGTTTACAATTAATTAATCATTGGATGGTGATCAATGTCATGTATGTCAGGTCCTTCTTAGTGCAAATCGAATCCTATCGACCAAGTTTCAATGTGGCCACCAGTCTAGATGACTCGAGATTATGTGCACTATGTTGAGATAAGACAGTGGTCTGAGGTAGTCAACAGGAAACCCTGGACCCAGGTTTCGTGCTACTTGGCACTCGTCCACAAAGTCTACCTGTAATCTTGAGGGAACTGATGCTCCCTGATGGATTCGATCCCGTATCATCCAACTCAGTGGTAACGTCTCTAACTGGGTACTTTTCTGTGAGATTTATGGTTTAAAAAGACCACGATCTTCACAAACATAATTCTCAGACAATTATTTTACATCATTTAGTCGAGTATTCAAGAAGTCTGAGCATAATTATTATAAAGACGATAGAAAATAGTTTATGACCCGCTAAAGTATCCAAATTTATACTAATCTTCTTTCGAATAAATGAATTTTCATAATAAAAATGTTCTATTTCAACGTAGCGAATAACTATGGGAAATTTGTAATTCATGTAGAATCATTATAAATATCAAAACTTATTACGTTTCTAAGGAAAAAAATCCTTGATTTGGACGACCTACTTAATCATGTCAAGTATACGGCACAGAAAACTACAACGTCATTTTTTGCGTCCTCATGTTCACCAGTATTATAAAGCTACACTGAAGTTATCCCTTAATCCATTAACTGAATTGTTTATAATTTTTAACAGTACAATGTTTAGTGAAGATCATAGCATTTTCATAGGTATCAGATCTCGACTTGGTCTTAGTTAGATCACCACTGGGATCTTGAAGGCACTAGACACTGTTTCGTCCCAGTATGGGATTCCTAAGTAGTGCACATGCACGACCCCACATCAGGGAATCGAATCCAAGACCTTTCTCCAATGTCTAACTTTTAGACCATCAAGCAGGTATCTATTTGTCTCATTCTGAACACTTCAAAATATTGGACGACAATCTTCCATTCCGCACTCTCGACATGGTTAAACTGCACTGTTTATAATTTATTCAGAAGGTTGAAATCCTGAAACGTATTTCTGAAATCCTCTTATTTTACACAACATTGGAATTAAAATTCATCTAAGTAGATGTTATGTGATTTTAACTTTTTTTCCAGCACAGTTTACATGTTTCTATTGCTTTAAAAATGAAAATTAAACAACTGAAACAAATTCATAACATTTGAAGAATGGTAAAGATTGGATCACGGCAAGATCTCACAACTAGTTTAGTTAAGGTACAACGTGAGTGCACCTGTGCCATGTCTCTAACCATCGAGGATCCCAACCAGGTAGTCTACACCTACCTTGTTTTGGTCAGCAGGCTCTAACTTTTTTCCAACCTACTCCTACACCATAAAACATCGCACGCCGGGGAAGTCGGTTGTTGGGCATATGTAATACGCGTCCCAGCCATCTCAGCTGATGAATTCTCACTACTTCATCAGTTGATTTGCAATCCTTAGCTAATATCCGTTCCCTAGCAACTACAGTACTTACTCGTTGGTCCCAGGATATATGAGCAATGCTTCGAAGACACCCATGAACGAATATTAGTAACCTACGAACATCCTTTACTCTTACCGGCCATGTTTCACAGCTAATAAAGTAGGGCGGAACAAACTGCTGCACAGCAGACTCGTCCTTTGGTTGGTAGACGGATATCTCACCTACGCCATAAATGACGTAAGTTGGAAAAAGCTAGTCGGGCCTTCTGTATCCGTGCTGAGATCTCGTCACACCAGACCGCAAAGGTTGATGAAACTCCCAAGTGAAGCAGTCGACACGCTCAACTACTTCACTCCCTATCGTTAATTCAGTTGTCGATGCAACCCAATCCTGAAGCAACATTTTACAAATAATAATAATAGTAATCCAAGGTTCGATTTTATAGACATATAGAAATCACTTCGATCTTTCATTAAAAATTACACCTTATTGTCAATGAATCTATTAAAAAGCCCACAATATCACTTAATAATTGAGTGTATTTCATTAGTAAACTTTTATATACCTGCAACTTTTTCCATCATCACCTTTTCTTTCTTCCTTCTTCTTCTTCTTCATAGATTGCCAGTGGTATGGCTTATTTAGAAAAGGAACATTATATTCATCGTGATTTAGCCGCAAGAAATATACTTGTCGGTGAAAATAATTCAGTGAAAGTTGCTGATTTTGGATTAGCTCGAATTATTGATAGTGGAAATGAAACATATACAGCTAAACAAGTAGTTTATTATTAAATGATTGAATATTTTAGTTTTTATTTAAAAGAAAAAAACTTTTTTATTAATTTCCATGAATTCTCATTCAGAAAATCGAAAAGTTAAACACAACCAAGTCTAATAGTTCAGTAGTGTTAATATCTTGAATAATTGGCTTTATAAGTCAATTGAATCTAGGAAACCATGGAAAACCTGGAAGCACTGGAAGACCGTTCCATCCTACTACGGGACTCTTCCTTGGTAGTGCGCATCCACGATCCCGCACCGCGAGATTCGAATCCAGAATCTATCAATCTCGCGCGCGAACGCTTAACCTCTGAACTGCTGAGCCGTCCGGCATCTAATGGTGTTAATGTCGGACTTCTACCATTGTCTTCAGTGAGTTACTATCTCACTAGTCACAACTTCTCACTAGAACTCCAGGAAATACCTCTTGGAGACAGTCACTAGTAAGCATATTATGATTATAACCAGATAGGATTTCTGTGGAGATTGTAGTAATTTAATAATATCATTAAATTTTTATTATAATTAATACACATATTTAGTTAGTTTACACTAGAATATCCACAAATTACCAGTGTATAGATTCACGAAATGGTTATACAAGGTTTACTTGAAATTATACTTCAACGTAGCAGACAAACTCCAAGTGATTTATTTCAATCACTAGAACGTACTTGTCTACATTTGGTTTTAGTTTATTGAGATCATGAACCGATCGATGTTAGACCATCGTTGGAAACCTGGAATCACTGGATGGCCATTTCGTCCTATTGTGGAGCTAATCCGTGTCGGGTAGAAACAGGTATCTACCTCAGTACAATGGAAGATGGTCGCGCAATTTCATGGATTGGCTGATGTTAGACACTAACACCATTGAATGCCGGCTCAGTGGTCCAGTAGGTTAAGCGTTCGCACGCGAAACGGCCCTCCAATGCTTCCAGGTTTTTAATAATGGTTTAACATCAATCAATTCATTATCTCAATCAAAAACTTAATAATCTCCACAACCCGTATACTGGTTTTATTTTAGTTCACTAATTAAGTGGCATAGAAACTATCCGTTAAGAAACATATGATCATGGATATTATTTACTATTAAAATATACAAGGGGTAAAGATGCCTATTATTTATGCATCATTTTAATTTAAACCGATGACGTAATTTTATTTTGTTTCTTTTTCTTTTTCTCTTTTTAATATTAGGGCGCTAAATTTCCTATAAAATGGACTGCACCAGAAGCTGCATTAATGGGTAGATTTACAATTAAATCAGATGTATGGTCATTTGGTATTGTTATATATGAAATTATTACTTATGGACAAGTACCATTTCCATCAATGAATAATACAGAAACATTACAACAAGTAGAAAATGGTTATCGTATGCCATGTCCATTAAATTGTCCTAATTCTATATATGAAATAATGTTAAATACATGGGATGCTAAACCAGAATGTAGACCAACATTTGCTTTTTTATGTAATTATTTTGAAGATTATTTTACATCATCTGAATTATCATATCGTCCAGCTGATAATACTAATAATATTGATAATATTGATGAAAATGTTGATGATAATATTCGAATGTTTCATTGTAATAATATAAATGATCATGATTATCGTCAAAATAAACATCATTTAGAGAAACGTAAATTAAATCCAACTTTATTAAGTCAAGATACAACTATCCTATATGATCAACGTAATAATAATAATAATACGAATACGAATAATAAACAAAATGAACATTCTCCATCGCATCATTTCAATGAGAATTCAATGACAACACAACAATTATCAAATTCATCACATATTTGTACAGTTCAAATGTGTTAATCATCTAATGTTTGTATATATATACCACACACACACACACACAATACACAATACAAGATTTAAAATATTTCACAACTCATTCATTCATCCTTTCATTTTTTGAATTAGTTCCCTTCCTGTTTCTCTTCTTCTTTCATTTTAAACAAATAATCATTATGTATTCAACTTTTAACTCAAATTTTCTTTTGGACATTTGAAAGTGCCTTGTATTCTTATTGACTTTTACTTGTTTACTTACTTACTTATTATTAAACAACAGTCATTCATTATCATCAAAATAAACTTGATTGTTTACTGATTTTTAATTCATTGAACTTTGATCCAGGGCCTAAACAACATTACAAAGGGAAACGCTTCCCCCCCCTCTCTCTCTCTCTCAATATATATATTCTTTCCTATTATGAATTGTTTTTTTTTAAAAAAAGAGGAAAAAAAGATCCCATCTCCCGGTGTTTGTTTATACAACTGTACAAATGAGGATAATCATACAACTATAGTAATAATAATAATAACAACAACAAACAAAACATGTTTTATACCCCTTTCATCATACATAATTCAAATTGAATTTCTTTTAAACGTTATTCACTAGATAATTTAGAGATAAAAACTTTTTTTTTAGTGAATATTAAGTAAACTAATTTTTTTCTTTCTTCATTGATTTACTCCTTTTTCTTTTAATTGTAGTAGTAACTATGCAAGAAACTTTAAATATTGGAAATCAATATTTCCTTTATATCAATATTCATTATCTTTGATTATATATATGCGCTCATTTCTTTGTTTTTTTCTTCTTCTCCACATCATGACAATTGCATTTTTTTTGGAAATGTCCCTTCATCATGATACATTCGCTTCTGATTTTTCTTCATTTACAGGTTAGAAGTTCAATATTGTCTGTTAATAGGGATATGCTTTACTTGTTGCCTAATTATAGAAATTTTTCTTTTCTTTTTTATATTTTTTTAAAAAGTGAATAAAATTAATACAATGAACAATGTTAGAAAGATTGTCTTTCTATACTTGGATGATACATTGACCGTTTTTCAATGAATCATTTCAACAACTTCTTTGTTCGTTTCTTTTTCTCTTTTGTTTCTGGTGAATTTTTTTTTAGTTACAGATGATAATCATTCAATTCAAATAGGTTTACTCTTCATTTCAATACCAACTTGATAATAATAATAATAATGATATCTATTTGTATAACTTAGTAGGATTTTCCATTTCATTTATGCATTACATTTAATAAACATGTTGTACTATTGATAGATTGTTTGGATCCCTTTTACTTCGTCTACTTCTTCATCTCTTACTCTCATATCTTTTCATGGTCATTTTCTTTTTTAGTGTCTTGTCTTTTTTTATTGATTTAAATTAGATAATACAAAAGAGAAAATGACAACAACCTCAGGATGAAATAATGGTTGATAAGAAAAAGAAAATGTGTCATTGTCGTATGTATTTGTTATTGTCTTTTCTTTTCTATCCTTAACTAAATAGTTGAATAGGGTATCTTAAATAATTTATTGAAATCAGTTCAGCGTAACAACCATAAATTCACTTGATTAGGTTAGTAGTGCTTTTTAAATTTATTCAAACAATCGAACTATACAATACTTTAATGTTAAAATGCAGTTTTTCAACAGCTACAATGGTCTTTAGTGCTGTTAAAGGTATGAGGGTAGTTATCACTTCCCGGTTGCCCACATCGTAGAAGGGTTCTTCTGGAGGTACCTGAAGAAGCTGGGTTAGAGATGGTTTTAATGACCTGACAGAGTGACTGCAGTGCTCAAGGGACAACTGCTTGAGCCCGATCACACACGACCTTTTCGTGAGTAGTTCTCGTGTTAGCTCCGTACTTGTTGAGACCTTACCGCCAGAGACGGATATCCGTGGGATAAGGTGAGACGTGTATCTTTACGGTCGACCTATCTAACCACACCCCTCCTTGTGAGACGGCAGCATCGCCGTCGTGCTGGTTGTCTGAAGGAAACAGCTTACTGCCACCACACCTCTGTACTATCGGGAGTACGACTTGGGACCTTGAGTTTGCGGTGTTTAGTCTTACCGTTCCTCAACCGGCACGTTAGAACCTTGAGGAACGAATGTTCCAGGCAGTATAGTTTGATTAGTTCATCTGAATAGGCAAGCCTGACCACGACGTCAAGGTAGCAAGAACGGTCGACTTTATTCAGTATATTTCTCGTACAACATTGAATCCTCAGCACAAAGTATTTTAGTAAGTTAACTTTTCTTATTTCTTGGTCGATCCCTGCCATAAATATTGAGTTGACCACCAGTTAGATGTTAGCAGTTCAGTCTTTGCTGATACATAAGCACACTGTGAGAGTTGCCCCGATATACCCATTTTATCATAGGTTTCTAATAGAACAAATGGTTTGCTATTGGCTGGGAAATTCATGAAGCATGTTCTGTTCTACTCGGGACTTGTCAGCTTGGTTTACTTCACTATTATTACTAGATCTCTGCACCTTTTGCTTTTAACGCCTGTCGTATTATCAACTAGTCTACACAGCCGTCCACTTGTGAAACAGGTATTATACTTACATGAATATTTAGGGCGAAAGGTACAGGATACAAGTCCCAAAATGCGAAAGTCAATACTGGGGATGTAGGTAGGTCCAGCTAGCCAGTCACAAATAAGCGGAAACATGGGTCCTGGTTTACACTGCTCACCACAATCTATCCATTCTGTTTGACTCAATGTATGCTAAGACAGTATAACAAACTCATTAAAAATAAAAGGCCTTACTAGTAAGTAATGAGCATAATTATTGATGTTTAATAAACCTCACCCATCTTTACTGGACTGTAATACCAACATTTTAAGATAAAGTGACATCTACCATTAATAAATGAAAAGAGAACGTATGCGGACTAGTCCCTGTTGCCCGATGCTATCAAAATGATGTATGGTATGATTGAAACAACTATTATTGTACAAAGTATACAAATAATTCAGGTTTGTAAAGAAATCAAACATTCATATTCTTTTGCTTCGAGTACTCCTGGTTGATTTAATACTTGAATTTGACATAATTGAGTGTTTTGTTTTGCTGAGGTTCGATTTCTTTTTTTTATTTCGCTTTGGTAGTTTGGATAATACAATATCAGTTAACATTTTAAATGCCTTTTGGACTTTTTGGACATCATACTGATCCGAAAGAATCTTGGAAAGATAAGTACAATATCTTTCAACATCCATTGCTAAACCTTCTTCATAAGTCATTTGTTCATATTGCTTGGATTTGAGGAAAGGGCACTTCGGTGAATGACTTTTATGCTCTTTGTCTGGATCATCCTAAAAACAAAAAAAAGAAAGTATAAGTATCGTATGCAAAAGTGGAATTCCAACGGAATATGTTCTGAGCATCAAGCCCAGAACTAATTAAAGAACTTAACTAAGGACATATTGAGATTGTATGATAGATTTGATACTTTTAATGAAAAACAACAGGCATAAAAGCATCCAAACAAGAGTAAGTGTTGGACTACATAACTGATATCTCGGGTGAATAGCTTTCTTTATCTGAATATTCAGCAGAGCTTAATGGTTTAGGTGCTCGAATTTCAGCCATTATGGTCTGGATTAAGGCCCCACACTAAATACCTCGGTTTGGGCAATCTTATGGTATTGTTAGCCCTTACGTTTAGCGCGGCTTATACCCGGAGTACCCAGTAAATGAATTAGTTTGTTTTTTTTAGTTATCTGAATAATTATGAATCTACGCATTTAACTTTCTCTTATTCTCATGAGGTGATGGGATTAGATGTCATAGGAGTAAATAATTTTATATCTCATCCAACACCTTAAGCAATTCTGCAAAGCCGAGATATAGCTTCTAACCACATAGCTACTCAATTCATGGAAATAGATATCTGTAATTTATTAAGTTTATTAAGGCATTCAGAAAGTAGCGTCGGTAGTCGATGAATAAGGAGGAAACTTCATTGAAAAAATGACTATAACTGTGAGATGTATATTTTCACTGCATTCTATTCATTCCACTTTACTTTAAGTCTACTCTATGAACCCTTTCATAAAAGATAATAATTTCTCCTATGCCAAAGCTCGTCTTTTCATTTCTGGGTAACTAAGCACTACGACTTTTGTCGGAAGCAAGCTGCCAACAAACGTAAGTGAACAATATTTCAGTGAACATCACAGAAGTGCATAACTGTTCCCATTATTATTACAAACACAAGGTACATTTATTTGCATCTCATAAAATAAATGTGTACAAGCACCTAATTCTTTAAATAGCCGCTTCTGAGTAACAAATGAACCTTAAACTAATATAAATAATAAAAATTCGGGAACCTTAGAACACATTTTATTTGAATTTGGGAAAAGCAGGCAACACGAATTCACACCAATGAAGATACTGTTAATCATAACTTTTTCAACGGTTAGCGTGACTCTTAAATTATTAAATACTGTTGAAGAATCTATCACTCTTATTCCCATCAGCTCACCACATTATATAAAATGAAACATAAAGATACAGGAGTAGTTCAAGGCTACACAATGGTACAATCTACGGTATATTTTCGTGAACGTGCAAAAATCAACTACAAAAACTAGCAACAATAAAAACACAACCACTTTGCCCGTATTAATAAGAACTTGTACACGTCGTGAGACGTTCATAAAATTCAAATAGAGTGAAACATTTTGAATTTCATAAATTACTTGAAACAAAGTCTTGGTAGCCCAATCTGGAAGAAATGTTAACTTACATCAGGTTCCCATCCTTCTAATTCTTTCATGCAAACAAAACACTGTGTAGTAGTTGGATTGTTTGGATTCGGTCGGTAGAACCCAGACTTCGCCATTTTCTCAGCTGTACAAAGGGAATTCCCATCATAAGGCCAGTTACTTAAAGTACTTAATCTATATGAGTAAATGGAAAGACGAAATCTGTCGATCAGAGTACTGACTGACATCTAAAAGAGCAGGCAGAAAAAATAATTAGACGAAGCCCATATGAGATTTTAATGAAGCAAACATGCAACAATAATTACCGTCTGGCTAGTATCCAAAACAGCTTAACATTGGTTATTTAAAACTATTTTCAAGAACGTTTCTTGTGCTCAAGAGGAAATAATTAGAAGTACGGGAGCCAGGTATAATGTTAATCACCGGCAAAACTTCAAAAGCCGTCAACTTATTTTAGGAATTCCATTGTAAAGGACCAGAACACATCAGTTGAAAGTCGGC